GTTAATTTTTTTTTGCACTTTGACTTAACTTTGCATCAGCATCGTTCGAAGAATTCTACAAAATTTGGAGATCAGACCAGAAATTATAGAAATATACTTAACTTTACAAAGAGAATTTACAATTACAAAAAACAAATAAGTTCAATAACGCCTAGTACCACCTCCTCGAACTCTAAACAACTGCTTGCAATCGTCGGGGTAGCCTTGTTTTTAAGTTTTGGATGGTTGCTTCAGGAATGTTTTCCTATTCCAAGAGAACAACACGCTCTAACTCTTGCAGGCTCATTGGGGCAGGTACATGACGCCGAAGTAATTTTATTTAGAACATCGCAAAGGTGTTCTATTATTGGATTTAAGTCTGAGCGGCGTGGTGGCCGCTCCAATGTTGATTTCATTTAAGTGATCCAAAACAGTTCTTGCAATATGGTGGAATCGGGATTACGTAGTCTTCAATATTCCCCCATAACATTTTTTGAACCACCACTAAATGGCTCCTCTGGAGAAATAGTACAATTACAAAATATTTATCCAGGTCTGCGCCATACTCTATCACGACCATCTGGAGATTTTAGCGTATGCTAAAGAATCTTAATCTGCGTGATCTGTGACCGGTAGTAAAGGCGGTGCAAAAGGCACTGGCTCTTCTACTACTACTACTACTATCTTGTCCTACGATCTTCTCCTGACATTTACAGCATTTTTAACTCAATTAAATGACATACAGTTATAAAAACCATATATTTATTAGATAATATACGAGTCCTATTGAGGTAAAAATTTTCCACGCATGTCTTTACGTTTCACCCATTCACTTTCTTTCTAAACGCGATTTCCACACAGGTTGTCCCAGAAAATTTAACACAATTTAAATATTGCCGAAAAATGCCACGCCAAACTTAAGATCAAAAACGAGATTTTATATCTCGTGCATGCACTTATTGAATGAACCTCCTCAAAAAAAATTTCATAGTTGCTGCATAATAGACAAGGTCCTCTATATCTCTATTAGCTATATGATAAAGACAGTACAACACTAACAAAAACAACTATTTGGAGTAAGTAAATTCAGATTTCTATCAGTAAGTCATAAAATATAAGTAGTGCGTTATTTGTAAACAGGAGTTTAGTTATATACAGTGATTTAAAAATACATTTTGTGCATTTTGTTTATTTCCACAAACAGGAATCCAAAACCAAAAATTCCAAGTAGGTGCTCTAAACCTCAACTCTTATCTAATCAATAAGATTTGTATTAATTAAAAAGATCATAAATCCTTTTTGCATGATCTGCTGAAGTCTTGGATTATTTTTCTTAGAAAAAAATTGTTCCTATTAAAATTAGGGATTTTAAAACCATTTTAAATCACTTGAAATATGGCGTCTCTCGAAATCGTCGCGTTGTATTAAATGTCAGCCGGTGGGAATTGCTAAACTAACCTCTGAACTCTTTTCTTTACTCCCTTTTGTAAAATACGTAATTATACACCGATCTAGCATTTGGAAGCAATCGCATGTTTTCGTAGATTTTACCGCACAGCTTGAATTTTGACGTTTGTCAATTCTGTCATGTCATGTAACTCAAATGCCGTTCACCACACTTGTTGCTGTTTTGTAAAAATTTATCCAGAAACTAACAGTCGTAGAAAAAGTATAGTATGCCACACGCTTGGTAAACGGCATTTGTGTCACGAGTATCTTTGGCACGAGCGGAACACAGCGGACACTTGTTACATAATATACTATTATCTATGGAGTTTACCGTATTGTTGTCATTGTATTTCATAAATAATTAATTTTGACAACTTTACGTTTTACTTTATATAACCTATAGTGTTTTAACCTCATTCGCATGTGAATAGTGACGTTATAACCTATTTTGACGATTTTCGCGGGCTTTGGGGTAGGCCAAAAACAATTTGGCAGGTGTGTTCTAAATCAACCGATAAACATTTCTAGCAAATAAAAGTAATTAGGTGCCATGGAATTTTGCTACGGGTACATCAATAAAATGTACTCTGTGGTTGTCGATTGTTATGTTGGTACTTCGAGCTACTAATTGACTGCGCTTGCGCTTAATTTCAAATGCTGCCTTTTTGTGTCATCTAGAATTTGCGGCAATCAACAATCAATGTGGCCGCTGACAATATTTTGTCACAATTGATCCAGGCCCAGGCCTCCTTAACTATCGGATGTTTCGGTTAGTTTGCGAAATTTTCTCTACCAAAATAGTTATATACGAGGGGGTACCCATAAAAAACCGGAATTGAATTGCCGCGCGCAGAGCTTGTATAGTACACCTTTCTGCCGCTAGGTTGTGGTTAGTAGAACTTATTGCGAGTTCAACGCCACCTTCGTTTTAAATTTAACTTGTTTTGTTCACTTGGAGTGCCATTTTTTGTTAACGCTGTTTTTTATTGTTATTTCGTTTTTTTCGATGGCAAGTTTAAAACAACAACGTGCAGCTGTGAAATTTTGTTTTCTGCTCGGTAAAAGTGCTGCTGAAACTGTTTCAATGTTAAAAACAGCTTATAAGGACGATGCGATGGGAAAAACTCAAGTGTACCAGTGGGTTGTTCGCTTCAAAAATGGCGACGAGTCAATTGATGACCGACCTCGTTCTGGACGTCCATCAATTGCTCGAATCGACGAAAATATTGAGAAGATTCGAGAGTTTGTGCTCACAGACCGTCGACAGACAATTGAACAATTATCAAAGATTAATGGGTTGTCTTGGAGCACGGTTCAACGAATTCTAACCGAAGATTTGGGAATGAAAAGAGTTGCTGCCAAGTTTTGTACCTCGTGTTCCGACTGACATGCAAAAAGAACATCGAGTTGAAACATGTCGTGCTTTGAATCAACAGCTTGAAACGGATCCAGATTTTCTTTCAAAGATCATTACTGGTGACGAGTCATGGTGCTATGGTTACGATCCAGAGACGAAGCAATAGTCCAGCCAATGGAAGACGTCACTGTCTCCCCGTCCAAAAAAATGTCGTCAGGTCAAATCAAACATCAAAACGATGCTGATTTGCTTTTTCGACATCAACGGCGTAGTTCATGCAGAGTTCATTCCACCAGGGGAGACCGTTAATCAAGCTTTTTATCTGGAAGTTTTAAGAAGGATGCGCAACAGTATTCGACAAAAAAGACCCGATTTGTGGCGGACAGGGGACTGGTTCTTTCACCACGATAATGCACCTGCACACACAGCCATTTCTGTTAAGCAGTTTTTGGCTAAAAATGGCATGGTTCCTCTGCCCCATGCACCTTACTCGCCTGATCTCGCTCCGTGTGACTTCTTCTTATTTCCACGTATGAAAGAACAGCGATTTGACAACATTGAAGAGGTCAAGAAAAAAAACGAGGGATGAGCTGTCGGCTATAGCCAAAGATGAATATAAAAAATGTTTCGAACAAATGTGTTGTAATGGAGAGTATTTTGACGAGGATAAGGTCGTTCTGTGATTTTCAAAACAATATATAGTTTATAAAAAATGATTCCGATTTTTTTTGGATACCCGCTCGTATGCTTTGAACCAGTCACGTTATAAAAAATAACAGTTTTTCAGCAGAGAACCAACCGCATTTAAAACTTTTTTATATAATTTTTAATATATTCTGGTGGTATCTAATTTGCTAAATGAATATTATTAAATTCTCTTTTAGGTAGACATAAGAAATATCAAAGTCTGATTTCTCTTGGCTATATATTAATAATTTAATGGTGACTTGAACGAAGATACATCAAACACCGAATGTCTGAAACTGTAAAAATGGGTAGTTCTCCGCTTGATGATAAACGACCACCAGATGAATTTACGACTATTATGCTCGAGGTCCGTGCCCACTCCGAAAACTTATGGGCTGTGTCAAACATTAAATTAAACCGGACAACAAAGGAATATCGTGGGTCGTGTGGCCCAGAAGTTGAATCACTGCGAAGCGGCGGAATTGATTAGGAGGTGGAAAAATAAATCTGACGCGAACAAGCACCGTTATCGCAGTACTGTGATTGCAAAAAATTTGGAGATTGCATTCAAAACAACCGTGAGATCATTCTTAAGAGGTGATTGTGGTTCAAAGCGCAATAACAAAGTCACACACAAATCTGAAAGTCAATTAAAGCCAAATATAACGGATGTTGCAACATAGTTTGCCATCTTTTGTATTTCTTTATTATAATTTTCATTTGCTTACGTTGTACGTTGAAAGTTATATTTACTTAGTATTTATTGTTTTTATTTTTAGGTAGGTATGCTATAAAACATATGGGTCAAAAATATATTAATTTATTACTTAAAAAAGTATAGCAAAAGTAATAAGCTACTTCTTATAACCGACAATATTTTTTAGTAAAATTCTTAGTCCAATAATTTTTTTTTATAAAAACTGTACTCGAAGAATCCAACCTATATACTGGCGAATTTGTGAAGAAATGATTTATTTATTGTCCTCGCCTGTGATTCAACTAGTCCATTTCATTTTGCGAACTGCATACAATAAAATAACATCGTTTTTTTTTATTTGTCAAAAATTTAGGAATCAATTTTGAATTTTGACGGATAAATTTTGGAACACGAAAATGAAGATTCATTCAAATTTAAGAAGAACGACGGTTGTATTTAAATTTTGCCGGGAAACTACAATAGAGTCATGGCTGTTCGGTAGGCAACCAGTGGTAATTCTAACACCCGTTAGTTTCTAATAAAATGTTATTGGTCTAGTTGATAACAGTCGTATAGTTTAAATTACATTTTTTATTCGTCATTACTTATAATTTCATTAATACAACGTAACATAATAGTTCAGTTCGGGTATTTTTTCGTTGCCAACGATAAAATCTAAATATATTAATACTTACAGTTGACGCACATTACAATTTGCAAATACTCCGCGACCGGTTATCGTTTTTGTGTTAAACTAACGAAGCGACGCGACGAAGGCAAAATTATTATCGCCGATGGTAGAAAAGGGGAAATAAACTTTTTAACACTTACTTTTTTGGGCCTGCAGAATACTAATCACTAAAAATAAAATCGGCATTAAATAATCAATGCCATATGCCAAACTAAACACATTTGACTATTCGTTAGATATGTGCACCGAGATTTTTAAGTGGCAGATAAGATTTAAACTCCTGCAGGGGAATCGCTTAAATTTTTGTTTTTTGATAGGACGCCGCGCCTCAAAATGTGAAGAGGCCTTGAACCAGACAGTTTCAATAAATTGATGTTTTTCGATGTCCACATTCATACATGGTGTTTGTTTAACAACGGTTCAAATGAGCATCAAGTGGCCAAATCGGATGCCTTATCGGCAAACTGATACAAATTTTCTGCCATTTAATAATTTTAAATTAAGCATTTTTGTTTTTTTCTGCAAAGAAATAAATGTTAATATTTTTGCCGGTGATCGTAGATGGCGCTAGTAACAACCTATTTTACGTGTCATCATATGTCCGTTTTTTGTTGTCTTAACTACGGAGGCTCGAAGATAAAGAGACAAATCGGAATTATTGACAAAATGGGTCAGAAATTCATCTCGCCTTTTAAATTTTCTGTTACGGCGAGGTATTCTATCTGGAGACCAAGTTCCCCGCAAACACAACAGGTGAACTTACGCTTTCCCTTACCTCAGTCCCCGAAACTTCTAACGGGTGACGTTACTGGGCGACCGTTCCGAAGAGCATATATATCACCCGTTTTCTTTTTAATGCCTTTTACGAATACAGGGCTGTTCGTTTCTCCTTCAGGTAATAGCATGTATGGGGCTTCAAATTATATATATATATATATATATATATATATATATATATATATATATATATATATATATATATATATATATATATATATATATATATATATTTTTTTTTGCCCAGTTTTAACATATTACGTTTGTTGACAATGAGGCAGCTACTAAATTTTACTGTATAAATTGTTTTGAAAGTAAAATTATTTTGATCTCTATGTGGGAAATTATCCATAAGTACTTCCTTATAGAATATATAATAGTTACTACAAACCTTGCCTAACTAAAACACGCATCCTATATGAATATTTTGACAAAAGTACGAAAAAATAAACGTAAAAATAACAAAAACATATTTTGCTTATACCAATGGCGGTTCTCAAGGACCGTACAGGTACAGAAATGATTGGGGCCGAAAAAAAAACTTTTCTGTTTCTGTTTCTCCGTTCTCTGTGGGTTTTAATTCTGTTTTGCTCCATTTTTACAGTCCACGAGGTGAACAAGATATTTCAAAATGGCAGCAATCGCAAATTGGCGGCCATGTTTTTTTTTCGATTTTCGCCAGTTTGTTCGACATTGCTATGAAACACGAAATTTTAAGCTATCGACTTCAAATTTGGCAAGCGGATAGCGTTTGATCCTCTCACGGAACCTATTGGGGCGAGGCGGGGGCTGGGGAGTCGGGAAATATTTTTTTAAAAATAGAAGTCGCGTTTGCAATTAATTGTCTAAAATAAAAATCATTAATCGAAAACCAATTACGCTACCGAAAAAAATCTTGAACGAGAAGACGCAAAACATTTGGCAAGATAAACCTTTAGCCTTGACAATTTTTGAAAAATGTACAAGGTGCGAAACATATTCAAAAAAATTGGAAAATGGGTCCCGCCATTATTGAAAATTGGCTATAATCAAAAGACCGTGTTTCGTGTCAGTTTCATTTACGCGGCGATATAGCCCGCATAGACAGCTAAAACCTTTGTATTTAATATTTTCACCTGTTATACAGGGTGTTCGAGATATTAAGTGCTAAATTCAAAAATTAACAGGTGTCTTTTAGTTCAGGCATTTTTTCGATTAAATCCAGGGTTTTCGTGAAAAATATGACTAATTGGTTTAAACAGTATTACATACGCTGGTCGAGATATTTGAAAAAATCCATATGAAAATCGCAATATCTTACACTCAATCTAGACGCCATGGCGTCATTTACCATGATCAGAAAACAAGTATGTTATCGAAAACTATTTATCCTATTGAAAAAATGCATATTCCGGGAAACGTGGAAGATCCAGGGCTATAACTTCTAGTTCCGGCATTTTCTAAATTGTATACAGGATGTGTCGATTATGGGTAAAAAAAAAACAAAAAGATCCTGAAAATTGCCGTTTTCGTGGGTAAATTGTTAGCCGTAAATGAAAAACTATAAAAGAGAGGACAATTTGGTTTAAACAGTATCGTACACTGGAACGAGAGAGTTTCAGGTTTCATCTATCATACAAGAATAAAAATAAAGAATTTTTCGTTTCACTTTTATCGGTTGTTTCTCTGACTTTTCGTTTGAATACTTAATCCTTATAAACCTTATCGCAAAAAGCATTTTATTGCGGGTTCTAATTCAATATCAGGCTGCCTTTTCTTAAAATCTTATTCTGTAAAATGTTCGGAACAAACACATTTTTGGGAAGCCATTTACCAGAATTTAGATTTGTCGACGTTCTTTATCGATAAAATACCAGAGCACTACGTAAATATTTAATTCTGTAAAATAGTAAAACGTAAACTTATAACCTAAAACTTAAACAAAAAATATTTTAAACAGTCCACTTGTAGGAAAATCTGGTTGAAATAAAACCTTGTCAATGTTCGGATTTCATTTTATTAAGCGATAAAAAAATATACATTTGTAAAAAATTGCGGGGCGTAATCTACCTGCCGCGAAAATTCATAATATTATTACTTGTAATGAACAATTTTTACATATTGACCATTGACCATTACCACCTGCAGACTATCAGCAATAACGGAAAAAGAACTGCGAATTCGGTATTGGGTTTGAAGGCGAGTTTTTTTTTTGCAAAAATATGTGGATTTGACCTTTCAAATTTAAACAATGAAAATAATCAGGAAATTCCGTTTTTGCATGGCATGTGTTTTTTGCCAGCAATACAATACAAAGGAAAAATACCACCTCTTATCACATCAAAGAAGCTAAAATTTCCTTATATAGAATTTTTTGCTTTGCTATTTTTTTAATTTTTGTGTTGCTTCTTTTGCATTTTCTAAAAAAATCGCTCATTCTATTGGGTCATGCCAATACCTTCTACGAGAGATCCAACATTACTGCTACCTATTGATGCCAAAAAGTGTTGTTGACTGTGATCTGTGCTATTGGCTTCGTTGAATAGAGATATTCGTGTGAAAACCCAGCACATACACTATGCTTCTAAATCTAAGTATAACCTGAAAAAAAAATAGAAAAAAATCCGAATATTCAAAAATGTTTCACAAAATAAACTAATATTGCTTGAAATGAACCATAACCATATGTTCGTTTCGACCAACGTTGCCAGATACGTCTTAAAACCCAGAATAAACAGGAAAAAAAGAGAAGAAAAATAAATACGCAAACTCCCACCTTTTTGGTGCTAAGATCGTGCGACAGTAAGAAACACGTCCTCCAGGGACGCCTCACTAATCGAATAGTCTTCAATCAGTTCTGGGTAAGCGCTTTTCAGCTCCTCGACCTCCCTAAATAAATCCGACCACCTTTTCGTCCTGCTCTCAATATAGTAATGGATCAAACCCTAAAAAACGCAACGAGAATCTTATATATGATGCAACGGCGCCCGGTTCATAATCGTACCGAATGTTCGTCTTTAATTTGGCCGCTGTAACGTTTCATCAAGTCCGCCTTCAGCTCTTCTACGCTTCGGCGTTGCGGTGCCTCTTGTTGTCCCACTAAGCCGTCGACTTCATCGCGATCCCTCGCCGCTAACGTTTCCGTTTGACCGTGCTTCAGCTTCAGTTTGATGCTGAACCCGCCGATCTCTTCTTTCAGCTTCGATATTGTGCCCTGTCTTTCGATCGTACCCTGCTTCATTATTTTCAGGCTGTTGGAAACAAAGGTTACAAAGAGAAGTTCGATTTATCAACAGCCGATGCAGGAGGAATTTGTAAATAGTAAAAAAGAAGTAGTTAGCTGTCGTGTTGGAGGCTTTTTGTAATAAAAGAGAACTCCACTAAAAGTCCTTTATTTAATCTGCGTCATGAGATTCGGACATAAGCGCGCGAGATACCGGGCCGAAAGTCCCACATTCTAACCTCTCAAGACCATAGAATATGAACATCACAGACCACCGAAAACCCTGATGCAACATTAGCTTTAAGAGGAGAGCAAAAAAACGGTTCATTATCTATCAGTATAGGAAGATTGTGGTGGTAGATTGAAAATTGAGAAAAAAAAAAGAAAACCAAACCAGTTTAATACCATCAGCTGCGAGCAAAAATAACAAGAAGCTTCGCCAAATAAAATTAAGGAAAGGAAACTACTAGTTACTAGTTTCCTTTGTGAACAAAAAATTGGAGAGAAAAGAAAAAATTCAGCGAAGCTGAAAGAGCAAAGAAGAAAAATAAAACTCAAAACTGAGATACTAACTCGTTGCATAGCGCTTCGCACTCAACCATGCTGTGTGACGTCAGTATAAATGACGTGTTCTTCTTCTTTTTAATCGTGTTGATTAGACTCCAGAATTTGCGTCGCGTCGACGGATCGACGCCGTTGGTGGGCTCGTCGAGCAACACGAAATCCGGCAAACCAATAATGGCTACCGCGAAGCTCAGCTTCCGCTTATTACCGCCGCTATAGTATCCGCAAGGTACGTCGGCTACCGCGTCCAGGTCTGTAATTTCGACGCGTTAAACGCGAAGAAGATTCCTATTGGTCACTTACCGAATATGTTCAGGAAATTTTTCACTTCCTGTTCCGGCTGCTTTATGCCCCTGAGCATCGCCATGATCCTGAGGATTTCGCGCCCCGTCAGGGCATAGTTTAGAGCGTCGGTTTGAGGACAATATCCCAATCTTTTTAAGTACTGTAAGAAAGCGAGAACATTGGGTCTTCCGAATATTTGTAATAATTTAGTCCTACGAACCGGATATTATATCGTACAGTGTCACGCATGATATAACAAACATAGATATTACAGGTCGCCGTTTTAAATTCGTCCAGCGTGCACATGACGTCACGCTCAGCTAACAATTGGAATTTCACATAGAGTACTTATGGGAAGTTATAGTTGTTTACAGTACAATTGCTAAAGTTTGTTAATTGCAATTGTTTAGGATAAAAAGCAAGCAGCTATTATATTTGTAGAAACCAAATATGCAGGAACATATCAAAAGTTCGTTACGCTTTGCTTTACAAAATGTATTATAAGATTTAATTAAGTTAATGTAAATAATGTAAAAATAGGTAGCGAATTTGATTAAAGGCATTTGCACTTATCAAACTAAGATTTTTGGAGTACGTATTTAAAATTAAGTTTTGATATCACAATAATGGATAAGGTATAATTTTATTAGCGATTAACAAAAAATCGAAGTGCTTTTAAGATGATCTTAAGTTGAAAAGGGAATAAAATGGGAATTATGAACAAGAGTCTGAAAAGTAAACACTTTTTTTTTGCTAGAACGGAGAGTTTATGGGCTAAAATGAATCTTAGTAGTCATTGCAAAGAGTTGCTTGCAATATACCATAATATACAACAAACATGTATCATGTTTACGGCGGGAGAAGAAATTAAACGACTTTTATGGCATTTGGATTAACAATAGTATATTTCTCATATTTCATTGTCCAAACCTTGCCAGAGGAGGATCAGTAATCTTATTTTGATAAAAAAAAATTAATCCAAACCACAAAAAAGCACTAAAATTTTACGAAGACCGAAAAAATGCAACACAAACAACGAGATTTCGTTAGCAATACGCGTGACGTCAATGTCATATCTTTGTTTGTTGAATTATGAGTGTCACCAATCTGCCTCATATGGACATTTTAAATCAATTTATGAAAGCTTTTAAACATTTGTCTTTATCTGCAAAAATTTTGTGCGAAATTTAATCTTTTTTTAATTTCAGGAGAGAACATTGAAAAATTTTTCCTACTGGTTTAAATTTGAAATTTAATATTATTAAAATCAATTCTTCAATATAATAATAAACACACATATTTTTTCATATAAATAAAATGGTTTAATGATGGCTTCCTTTTTACGTTTTTATGAGCTTGTTATTTTCCAATGGAAAATAAAATAGTTGATTTTTAAGGGATGCACAATTTTTAGGTTCAACAAAAATTTAATCTTTACTTTTTGAAATTCTAATTTAAATTTATAATTTGTTTACCTCATTTTTTATAGTAAATGATTTAAAGAAACTACTTTTTTAATTTACAGAACATTTTTAAACCACTTTTAAATAGATCGTTAAAAAAAAAACTATTACTTAAATAGGATGTCCCACGGGAAAATTTGTTAATCTACTTTGGGTAAACCATAAGTAGCAAAACTTTGTAAATCTGGAATTAAACTAATGTTTAATGTTTTGGCTTTTCCTAATATACCGGAAATGGGTGTGAACTTTCTTATTTTACACGAACCACCCTATATATTATTGCTCTTTGGGGTCCTAAGAAAAATTCTAAACATATTTCAAGGGTCTGATATAGTTAACATTTTACGCCAAAAATGACGGTTCTAATGTAGGCACGCTTTGTTCCTCATATAACTGGTCAATTTTACGCCGTATTATATCTTGATCACTTTCATCTACCCTCGAGAAAATGTCAGCATCGCTTCTTTTTTTCCTCGCTGAAATGGGATTATTCACAATTTTCCATACAGTTGATGTTGGAATTTTCGTCAATGCGGCCGTTTCTTCTAAAGATGCTTGCTTGCTGGCACCACGTTCAATGAGAGTCAAATAAACATTGTTTATAACTTCCTTAGTCTCAATAGAATAGTGTTTTCTACATTTGGGCGGGAGCATCTCCTGACTCGCACATATTTTGCATAATTCGCACACGATTCAATACAAGCTGTATTACACACGAAATAAGAATGATTACTAATAAACTTAAACTGAGTAGTATACCAAACCAAAGAACATTAAACACAGGTAAGTATAAAATTATTTTCTATTACGGACCACCATTTTACCTGAATTTAAATTACGAACCTTTAGGTAATAATCTTGTTGCATTGTATGTTAATGACCACCCTTGGATAATCCCATTCGAAAGCAATTGGTCACTTTCTTATATCTATGAACAGACCATACCTCATTCTGGTCGACGTTAATCCTCCCGTCGGCCACGATCGATCCCTCGTCCTTGACCTCCTCCCTCGTGAGCATACGGAACGTGGTCGTCTTGCCAGCTCCGTTCACGCCCAATATGCCCATGCACTCGCCCTTCCTCAAATTAAAGTGGACGTTTCGCACCACGTCCCGGCCCGAGTAACGCTTCTTCAGTTTCTTCACCCTCAGCGTGCCCATCTCGTTGCCGTCGTCGCCCGTTTCGTCCAAACACAGTTTCTCAAGTTCGGAGCAGCGCTCCGAACTTGCCGTGCCTTGAATAATGTTTTTCAACGAGTACCACCCTTGCACCACGTCGTTCTTGCGTTTCTTGTACCAGTAACTGTGCAGTGCGACGTTGACCAAAAAATAAATCGCGGCTCCGAGTAGGACGTAAGCGAAATCGGCACCAAACACTCCCCAATACTGTTTGTAGCGAGCGCACGACTCGGAAGATGAGCTCCCCGCGTAGCAGCACGGGTTGGGGTCGTTGAAGCAAACGGCGTTCAATTTTTCGCGCGGCATATGCGCCAAGTTGTAGTTGTTGATCGCTTTGCGCGAGTATGCGACGCCGAAATAGGTGATCACGAACTGGGGCGAAAACGTGAGGAAAATTGCCTCGAAAACTCGACCCATCCGCATGTAGTGCTCGTCGCCGGACTCGTTCAGCACGATCACGATCATCGTGAGGGTTACGCCGAGTATGAGGCCCGATATGATGAACACGGCGAACGCGCCTGACGATGATTTTTTCCTGCTGAAGAGGTAGGCGAACGGTATGCCCGACGCGCCGTACAACACGAGCAGCAGAAACAGCGCGACTGAAATATAGAGGGCGTCATATCAGCTAAGGGACAGGTTGGTGTTGAAAATTGAGCAACGTTGATACAAAATTGCGTGAATATATTTGACTCTTTATTGTGAAAAAAACAACAAACTTTCCAGCTCCTAAAAAAAATAACACCAAGTTACTTTCCAAAGATCGATTTATGTGAGGAAGTACAAAGGTATGGGCCGCGTTTTTAGAAATACATTGGCACAAACTTTGATTCGATTTGATTAGTGGAGAGGATGATCCGGCTGATAAAACTGCTTCTAAAAAAAGTATTAGGAAAATCAGCTTTAATCTATGAAGAGTTCAAAACAATTTTGAGTGACTGTAAAGCAGGAGTGAATACAGCCTACATATAATCATATGCGTATCAGTCAGTGTTTCACCCCGATAGCTGTTCTATTGGATGAGTTAATTCAAGTTAAATGAAGCGCGTAACACTGATATAGCCACATGGAAAGGGACTTACCCTTTGGAAAGAACTTTAATTCCTTGCATATGCGAATTTTAGCTTAAGTGTTTTTTTAAGGGTTTTTGATTAAAATAATGGTCTCTACCGAACGCACACCGCACGCGAGAAAGCTCTCGTTTACACACCAAAAATAGTTCTTTTTCACCTGCACACAATTACTTGCGCAGGCGTGGTGGAGTCTCATCCTCTAGGATCATCATTATCACAAAATGGATACGTCAAACGACTAGTAGTGTAATAAACTAAATAAGCCCAAAATTAAGAAGCTTCTAAATAAAATTAAAAAAAAAGAAAAAAACGAAATAATACAGAGAGTAATGAACATGCAACTCTAACGCAGTCTTTCTCTGTGAAATCAACAAGAGTAGGAACACCCGATATTGATCAGAGTTCAGAATGAGATTTAAATACAAAATGCTTCTTAAAGAAAATCTAACAAAAAGATTACGTCAAAATAAATAAGAACTAAAACTTCAGATTTTCACAAAATTATATATTATGACATGACAATTGTTTCGACAACACCATGTCTTCATCAAATGTCACATTTGATAAAGACACGGTGTTGTCGAAACAATTGTCATGCCATAATAAATAATTTCGTGAAAATCTGAACTTTTAGTTCTTATTTATTTTGATAAATGGATTTTCATCAAGTAAAAGCCACCTCAGTTCAAAACATTACGTACTGAATACTTGAGTCAACTGGCTCTTAAAAAGTGAAAATTAAAACATCAAAAAATTAGTTAATAAGGGACAAGAGAAATTCAAGTCCGGTTGTCAGTTCTCAGAACAATCCAAGGATTACATCTATTAGAAATTACTGAATCCAATCAAGACATATTAAAAAGAAATTCTGGAAAAGGCCGTGATTGAGAAAATACCAGAGTTTTAAAGGATGAAAAATTAAACTTGACACGATGAAAGAGGTTTCAAGTCCGACGTTGAAGTCGATCAGGTTTGGAAGAATAATAAAACCTCCTGAGAGAATTGTCGTTCATACATTCTAAGGTAACAGCACATGTGATCTGCGGTCTTATTGACTTAGACGTAAGTTGTACAACAGAAAATTCATTAAATACGTCTGTTCTGTCTGCATCCCACAAACCTTCTGATACTGAGAAATATTTTCAGAAGCTCGATTATAACCCAACTATTTCATTTCCAATATACAGGGTGTTATTGATATGACATAATACATTTTCTTCGAAGAATAGGATCAGACTGACAAGCGCGATACCGATAAAGCAACTAGATGTTGCCGAATGATTAGTATAGATAAATACTTGTTGCTTAAACGCACCTATTGTTTGGTTGTAAATAAAAATTTGTGAGAAATTTTGTTTGTGAAGACAACACAGACAAGAGTTTTATTTGAAGCTGGTATGGTAAAAAAAGTCACGATGAACTGAAGTTATTTGATACAACTGTAGGATGCTACTGTAACTCGCTGGATTACATGTTGTAGAAATTTTTAATGGAACTTTTTTTGAAAATACTCAGTTTAGGAGTGAATTAATGATTTCATTAAAAGCAAGAACCTTTTGCAGTTTTGAAAAAAAAGCAGTTACACGTGTGACTCAGTTTCTTTCGTAATTTGGATTAATTAAACTAATGATCATTTTAATTTTCACTTTTTTACTCAGTTTCTCCTTCCTAAAAAATTTTTTACGTTGTAGTCATTGGACAAGTAAAATAATTTTAACAATAGCCCATTATAAATAAAAACCTTCCTTTTTTGACAAAATTGTTATGCAACAATGTTGCTTAAGGTGAAATTGACTTTTTATAAAAGGTAAACCAAAATATTTATATAGAGGTTTATTTTATTATAATTCAATATATTGATGGCTAAATAAAAATAACACAAAATATTGTTCGGACGGTGTAACGTAATAATGCCTATTATGATTTATCCATACTTCACAAAACACAATCTTTGGATTATAGAAACTAATGACCAAAATATTCATCTAAGCCATACTTGCTTTTTTACTACTTAGTGGTTTATACGCATCTTTTGGCAAAAGTGTAACACCGTAAATTGTATATACAAGTCAAGAGCTAAATAAACATCATTCTATTCTACATACTATAAAAGACTATTATTTTCTTTTCTAAATGTTGATGAACCTAAAATATTTAAAAAACTATCAACAAATTTAGCAATATGCATTTTTTATTTAGGTTACTAAAATATATTCAGTAACCTTAAACACTATTAACATACGTCTACATGATGTTGTGATGTTTGAAAGCTGTTTGCTAATTTGTACATTTTTGGGGGCCTTTTTCCAAAAAACACCATATTTTTGCTCTATCACGTCATTTTTTATAGCGCGCAATATCTGAAAAATGTTATTTTGATTTTTATGAAATTAAATGTGATTTGGCAACACTGGATAATATTAGATTTTTTCGCAAAGCAACAGAGTTGGCGCAGAAGCGTCAATACAGCGTTGAAACCTGCTTATGCGCAGTTTGGTGTTCGCGGCTATTGTCTTTGTTGTTGCGTATTTCTAGCGTTCTAGAACGTATAAATATGGAAAGACATTGTGTGAACAATACAAATAACTTTTGGTATATCTGTGGTAGTTATGTCGTAGTAAAGCAAAGGCAAACTATAACATCTTTTGTGAAAAATGTAAACCACGATAATTTTGGTCGGAAAAATTGGCGACCAAGACATGTTCTGGGCTCCTCATACTGTTTCTTCCGCTTGCGTTGAAGCATTAAGAAACTGGCAAAACGGTAGGAAGAAATTTTAAAGCTTTGGTGTTCATATGGTATGGCGAGAGTCCCGACATCACAGTGATGATTGTTTTTTCTTTTTTTTTCATGTAATGTTCAAGGATTCCACCGAAAAAATAAGAAACAAATTGTGTATCCCAATCTCGACCCTGATATTCAACCAGTTCCTCATGAACCAGATGTACTGATATCTACTACCCCAAAAGAACTAGAAAACGTCAAAGGGATTCCACTTTTTTTCTGAATAAAAAAATAAATTATTTTACAAATATCGTTTTTTTTTTCTTTAATATTTGCAAAAAAAATCTTACGTGATACAAATAAATGCATAGCATTTTTGAAGTCAGCCTACCAAAATTAAATAAAATCAGTTTTCAAAATAAAAACATCTGTCAAAATGTTTAATTTTGTAGATTTGTGCAATAATTCACCACGTACCGCCGGAAAAAATTAATTTTAAATCTGACCTTTTGGTTTCAAGATACCGAACATTGGTCCATAATGACACCATATGATAAGCGAAATTCTCTCGTAGCAATTTTGTCAAAAAAATACGGTTTTTATTTTTAATGGGATATTGTTAAAATCATACGAAATTTACTAAAATACCCCTTTGTACCCCTTTGGCGATGTTATCTCTAAAACTGCACAGAGATTTGAGCAGAAAGTAAAGGGCTGCAACATACTAAATTTTGTATAAAACTTTATGAGCTAAAATGAATCGAGAACCTCGGCATCACCGCAAACTTTAGTGTCTGCCTTATCGCTAGTGACACAACACTATACCAAAACTTTGGAGCCATTTTTTCTGGTAGCGCGGTTATAACGAGTATTTTTACCATTTGCTCCGCGACCCTGAGATTTATTTATATTATATGATCTCATTTCAATCAAATCACTCCCTGACGCTTGAAGTGAAAAAAAAAAACATTTACCCATTTCTTCAAAGCCCCGGAACGGCGTCCAAATCAAATTGAACATGGCCATGACTAGCGCGAACGTAGCGAACAGCGCAAAGTCACAGGCATAGTTCACCAGCCAGTAGAGGAAAGGCGAAACGCCGCACATGAACTGCAACTGGGTAAAATTCGTCGACAGCTCCATGTGCGGGAAGAAAATGAAACTGCCTAGGAAGAAGAGCACGCCGATCGGCAGAATCACCAACCACAACAAGCCGAGCTGAACTTCTGACAGTTCCTTCGGCGAGTTGGTGTCGCGTATCCTCTCGAGCGGCCAATTGCTCATCGAAATCGAATATTGAGGCCCCAAGCGCGATTTGGCCAACGCGTTGGTGATCAGATTCAAAGAGATGGGCGCGGCGTGCAAAGCCAGGTTGTTGTATAGCGCGACGGTTTCGATACCGCCGGCGCTGCCTGATTTTAGCTCCGCCCCCACCACCATATGCCGTCTGTAGAACGCAATGTTGTTGATACCTTCGTTGATAACGGCTGAAACGCGAAGAACGTTATAGATTGGATGGTGTTCTAAGGATGGTTATTGTACCTTGAGAGGTGTCATTGACTTCTGCTAACTCGCTACCAGCAGCGAATACTAGCCGACGATAGTGCTGTGCAATCCGGGCGACTTCAGAGTCGTACGTAGCGTTGAATACTACGCGGGTGCGACCGTAAGTGTCTAGTTTCATTTTGAGCAGGGGGCCGTCGCTAATGGAGGAATGAGTGACAGACTCGCCTAGGTATATGCACAAGATGAGGAACACCAGAGAAGTGAGGAACTAAAACGGAAACATATAACGTAACATAACGCACATACAATAAGCTTAAATATTTATGTAAGAGGGGGTTATGGTAACTATTTTTCATATTTCAATTTGAAAAGGATCTAAGTCTACTATTTACAAAACTTCTAGATTCATCTCATGTTGTTGTTGAGTCGAACTCATAATAAAATTTATGTCTGGTTTCATCATTATGTTCGGCAACTGCTGTTGAGTTTATTTGTTTTAAGGATCTTTCGTGTTCTCCAATGTATTCCTTGTCGCAAATGCATGGAATGCTGTAAACTCCCTTGCATCTCAAATGTGGTAAATCTGGTTTTGGTTCTTAAGAACTTTTGATATGTGGTCAGTGATGTTTTGAATGTAAGGAAGGACAACAGTGACAAGTATGAGATTGCTTTCGGACTCATTGCTATTGTAAGGTTGTGGTGAAGTATATTTTGTGATGGAACGCTTAATATCTTTAACGTGGTAATTATTAGAGAGAAGAGTAGAGGTGAGGCGTTTTAATTCTAGGTTTAATGACTAGGACTGAGATAGTTTTACGACTCTGTAAACAAGAAAGTTGATAACCGATAATTTTTGCGCCGGATGGTGATGTGAGAATACGTTATGGTATCGGTCTGTGTGCATAGGTTTTCTTTAAACACAATGACCCAATCTTAGGTTGATGGTAAAACGAATGTTAAGATGTATAGAGTTTAAATGTCTAAGAAAATTTACTAGGGATTCTTGACCATGAGGCCAAATAATAAAAAAGTATCATCGACGTAGCAGTTACATAATTTTGGTTTTGGTTAAATACATTCGCGATGACCCATAGCTGTTCCCGACGTTTGCTCGAAAATTCGACCGTTATAAGAAAAATATGTTCCAAAATATGTTTGGTATTAGATTCTCGGATTTTAATATATCTGAAATGATGTTGATAGTTTCTGTTTAACTGTGCCATGAAGTGAAGTACGAAACTATCAGTCAGAGAATATACTGGAGAACCAATGATTCCAACAATAGGTCGAAAGAGTAATGTTGGTTTGTGAATCTTATGGAGTCCGTAGAGACGAGGAATTTTAGAGTGAGACTTTTGTCACGGAGTCTGATAGAGAAGAAGCCTTAATAACACATTTAAGGTTACGTTCCCTAGATGATGTAGGATCTTTTTTAAGTTGAGGATATGATATATTTGTAATAATATCTTGAATCTTTTCCTGATACTCATTTGTTTTCATCATCACCGTAGCATTTCGTTTATGTGCTTTTAGAACTATGGTGTCGGGATTAGATTTTAGAGCAATGCATTCAGCCTTGTGGATTATTTGATTTAGGAGGTTTTGATTTTTGAGATGGTGGATGTTTAGCATAGACTCAACATTTGAAATGATTTCCTCTCTGGGATAATACGTGGGGTAAAGATGAAGTTGGAACCTTTTGCAAGAACTGATTTTTCCGGGTCGTACAATTGGTGCGATGATACATTTATCACAGTGGTTGGAGACAAATAAACTCATCAAAATTCATGCATGTAATCAATTCTTCTACCAACGAAAAATGCTAGAATCTATAGAAATCTACCGCGACTCAGGTCTTTACCTGTCACCAATATGGATATCAGTCATCCGAGACGATGTTTATGCCCCTCATTTAGCACCGCCCCCCGTCAAACTTGATATCAGCAGGTACAGAGTAAAATGCGAACCAGTTTCAGTTAAGCTCTGAAGAAGCCAACAGGATGATTGGCAAAACGTCATGAAGTTAGATTTAACCACAACCGACCCAGGAGGAATCCAGAAATTTTGTAAATAGCATTACAGTAGCCTGTGGAAGTTTCTTTGAAATATCAAAGTTTAGCTAGGGTATATCAAATATCTGTGGATTTGCTTGAAAACTGTGTTTGGTAAGTGAAACTTAAACAAAAACTGTTTTTTCAGATTGTAGCAGGGATGGAGAGGAATTAAGGCTGGTAATTTATTTTACACACTTACCGGCACTAGATAGGTCAAATACTTTTTTTTGAAGAAATAGAGGCGTTTTTCTCGCAGCGCTCTGAACGTCAAATAATAGTTTGTGTCTCCTTAAATTTAGAAAACATCGTCACATTTTTGGTTACGCTTACGTATACAGTGTGATTTCCAAACAACCTGAGCAGAAAAATAACTAAAAATTTATTTAAGGATTGTCCATTATTCATATTTTGGGAAAAACCCTAATAGTGAACGTAATTGTTTCATTTAATTTTCGTTATTGATTAAATAATTTGACATTTCGGTTAAGTATTTGGAGAGTTCTTGAATTATTTTTGACACATGTGAATTTTTCTGTTTAATTAGAAGAGTATGGTTTAGAAACCACGCAATATACAAAAAAATCATTAAAATGGTCTATTTACACTGAATTTGGGTCTCTTACCCCAAGCACCTTTGTAATGCATGCAAGAAATATTTTTGGAAAATTTAAAGTATCCACATTTTTTGCAAATTCGTGTTGGAAAAGGGCGAAAAATATCCTTGCTTTTGATTAATAGCAGAGAACCGTAGTGAATTAATTATACACGGTGCAAAGAAAGGGCGAAAAATATCCTTGCTTTTGATTAACAGCAGAGAACCGTAGTGAATTAATTATATACGGTGCAAAGAGATAAAGTTAAACTTATACCCATTTGTAATAACCTCATTTTTGTTTATTTTCGCATATTATCCCAACAGACTTGACAACACTGTCAGTCAAAAACAGTTGTTTGCTAACTTGTGGAAAATTATTTTGAAAAGTCGATTGGCAACCTGTAAGTTGTAAAAACCAGCGAATTACAAATAGGTATAATTCCGATATATGTTTGCGGTCGTCATTTAGCATTAATCAATCAGAACTGACAATTTATTTTAATTAAATTCATTTGAAATTTCTCGTGCTGTTTATGCCAGGCAATGACTTTATTATCCAAAAAAAAACTAGAAATACACAAAAACTTTTATTTCGGGTATTAAGCGGTATAGAAATAGAAATAAGGGTTCAATGTTTTCCGTTTGAAAATCGCTTTTTGCAAATAACAAAAATAATTTTAAGAAGTTTATCCTCGTCTCATTCCATCGCCAAAACAGTGTTTTATGTTCTTTTTTTTTCCGAGTTGGGTTGCTAGTTATTTTAGGGATTGTATCAATAGGATATATAAAGTCACTGTCACCACCCTATAATGTGCAAAGAAAAAAAGGATTTATATAAGAACGTGACATTAAATGTTAAGCGTCCTTCCACCGAGTGTTTTTTTTTTACCTTTACACTGTCCTTCCATCGCTGCGGACATGGCGAAACAGAAATACGCAATTAACACATAAAAAATAAACAAATTAAATATAATCGGTTACGTTTTCAAAAGGGACTTTGCGCTAGCAAAAATTTTTCACCGAACCCACGCATGCGTACGAAATTCTACGAAAACGGCACGACAAGCAACTAAAATACATACCTTGGGCGCTCGAACAAAGGCTCTCGTTGTCACTTTCGGCCTTAGCTTTGCCCTCTTCCGTTTTATTAGTGCTGAAACAAAATGCCGGTTTGCAGCATCCACAGACTAAATATACCTAAACTAATAGCATTATTTAGTTACTCCTCCAAAATGGCAACCCAATAAGGGCAGAAATAATCTGGTCCACAGACGGCTCAAAAACTCAAGGAGTAAGAGCTGGAATATGTGAACCCAGGACAAAAATAAAAATTTAAATTCTAAAAAATGCTAGCAAGCAGAGACAACCGCACTAGAACACAGTATAGGAGCCATTATCGAAGCCGTGGAGTCTAATTAGAGAAACGAACCTAGAAAAAGCTATGGAGACAGTCGCAATAGATCATTTTCTTTTGTTATAAAGCCTTGAGCAAAACTTTCCTATGATGCCAAATGTAATTTTAATCTTCCTGAGGTCCAATTCTTGGAAATGGAGGCAGATGTTCTGCTGAAGATGCATGTTTTCTGTCTTTAGTCACTAAAGCAATTGTTCATACAGCAAAGCAATTTCCCAGATTTAAGAATTTTGGGATTTACTGCTTAGTACATGGTATCCATAGCGCTCAATTACGAGACGAATTGCCGACGCGTTCTGTACCGCAGACTTACTTCAGGAAGACATCTTCCAACGTGGTGGTGGTCATTGATATTTTCTCAATTTTGAATTCGTCCTTGTGCTCCTCGAGGAATTCGAACAGTTCTTTGTAGTTGATCCCAAACGGGAGAACGAACACCATCTCGTTGCCGTCGACGCTTTTGCACTTCGCTTCAGGGACGAACCTTTCCAGATGCGTTTTGATTTGCAAGACGGTGTCGCCATCGTCTCGCGTGTCTTGCAGAAGCAACGACAAATGATAGCCGGTCTCTGCAACATATGTATTATAGTTAATGTTCACTTCCATCTTTAGAACACCATGATTTATAGCTTCGCCAGTTGCTCTCTGGCATATAAACTATTTGACGCGCATACGATACCCGCCAAACATTTGAGGAAAAATACTTTTTACACAAAATGCGCTCGCATTAGATAATAATTTTTATAACCTGCTTGGTCAATAAGTGTCTTAAACATGGTTTTTGCAAAAAACAGAAACCAGACGACATCCTCCGAAACAATATCAAAATAAAAATTTTCAAAACATATAGAAATAGAAACACAGAGTCCTATTTAAATTGCAAATGGCATAAAACAAATGACAAGCAAACTACCATTTCTTTTTTGAAATTGTGAAACGGAGATTCAGACAAAATAATACTGAGGTCCTAAAATTTCAGAGGACAATCCGTAAAATTGCCTGTCTTGGCTCTAATTCGGACCGCGGTTAATTCCTTTACAGATTTACCATCAACCCTGAGATTTCATAACTAAAGAAATCCTAACCTAAACTAACCTAATCCTAACCTAAAATAACCCAATCCTAACCTAATCTTGACCTAAACTAATCAAATCTAATCTCAATCCTAAAAAACAATTTTTAAAGTTGCAACAAACTGTTCACCGCGACCGTGTGACCGCCATATCTACATCTACCGGTTAAATACCAACATTGCACTGATAAAACCACCAACCGTATTTCCTTTTCAGAAACATGGGCGTTCCGAAGCAGCGCAGTCGGCCGTCGTTCATGATCGCTATCCAGTCGCCAAGGGCATCGGCCTCTTCCATAAAATGCGTGGTTATCAGGATCGTCTTCTTATTCCTCCAACCCAGCAGCAGGTCCCAGAGATGCCTGCGAGACTCAGGATCCATACCGGACGATGGTTCGTCCAAAATTAATATCTAGTGAAGTAAGCAAACCAAGAAAGAAAACCATTAAGCTTCAATATTTAGTTGCATCGTTGCACTCGGAAAACAGTTTTGGTTAGTTTTGGGAGACTCAGCCAAAATTCAGGAGTTAAGGATTCAAATTCCAGCGCTATCAACGTCGCGCCTCCTTTTCACAAGGGTTGTCAACGACAACAAATGCAGGAGAAGGGCAGACCCGTAGTAATTTTCCGCCCAGTTGCGCAGTACTCATGGGCAAACTGCCCATGACAAGTATAGAGTATAGCTTTTAGGAGAGGGAGGTAAAAAGTGTTGGCAAAACCACAACTCCTCCTTAATAACATAAGAGGACAGGACCAAAGAGAGTGGTACGAATTTGATCACATGATGTGGTTGTGGTTAGGTAACTGCGATAGACTTTGATAACTCTGAACGTCAAAAATAAAAAATTTGAAAAAATGGTGTACACAATATATAGGAAGTACAATTATATATAAATATATATAACTTACTTTCGAACCGCCGACGATAGCCATGCCAAGGCACAACTTCCGTTTCATACCGCCGGACAAAGTATGGGCTAAGCTGTTGGCTTTCCCTTCCAGATTCAGTTTTTGTAGCAGATCGTTGATTTCTTCTTCAGCTTCGGCGGAGCTCCTACCTTTTAGCTGGATAAATAAAGGAATGTTAAAGCGGAAACTCTAATTTTTTTTTAATTAAAATTATCTACGGTGAAAACATTTCTTTGCAAGTACAGTTCAGTTCACTTGGGTGTTCGTGTCGAATGTTTCATTTCGCAATTATGTGAAAAATAACGAGGCAAAATCTTAACTGCTAATTATGAAATTCAGTTAATCCACCAATGTCACCTTAACAGCAACAAACTGATTTTAGACATTCACCTTTATTTTCTTCAAACTGGTAAACATTGTACTCTTATTTTATTTCTCTTTCTTTTTAATGACGTCAGCTGATTTACCGATATATATATATATATATATATATATATATATATATATATATATATATATATATATATATATATATATATATATATATATATATATATATATATATATATATATATATATATATATATATTAAGACCACAAAAAAAGTACTTTGAATTAATATATTTCTGAAAAAAAAAAGCGTTCGAAGACAGTGAATAAATATTAATAGGAATTGAATAATTGAATTAAATTGAATTGAATATTGATAGGAACAAGTTGGCATTTACTCAAAAAACATGTGAAGACAAAATTTTATTATTACTTAGGAATATTGCCATGTTTAATTAATGAACCTAGATTTATGTTGACACTTAATACGTGCTTTATTGCCAAACTTATAGCAAGCATGACGCAGAGGCATTAAAAACATTAAAGGGATTTAAGTAAAAAAACTCACCATTGCAAAAAATTTCAGGTGTTCAAAAACGGTCAGATCATTAAATAAGAGATTATGTTGGGGACACAGGCCTATGGTTTCGGTCAATTGCGAACGGGAATTTACGCAATGACCATTCATTAAAATCTGACCCGCAGTTTTGCTTATCATGCCTGGAAAACAGATAAAATAGTTAAGGATGTAAGTGTAAAGGAAATTAAAGAGAGCTTAGTATAATTTTTCACTTCTAAATTTGCTCAAATCAAATTCATCATTATAATAATGATAATATGATGAATTCCAAAACCAAATATTCTTATCCGCATATTATATGGGAGGGGTCAAATTTTTCGGGCATATTGTTTACCTGTAATCATGCCCATTGTGGTAGACTTTCCTGCGCCGTTATGACCGAGCAGGACTGTAATTTGGTCCTGATAAATTTCCATCGATAAACAATTGACGGCCACCTTTCTCGAAAATCGTTTTGTCAGACCGATCACTTCGATACCCTTTTTCAGCCCCCGGCCTGACTCAAAATGCTCTAAGTGGACACTTTCTACGTCGCTCCTGTGGTTCACTTTATTGAAATAATTCCTGATCATCTGTAGAAGAATGGAGTAAATAACTTGACAGAAAGTTGAATTTGCAATTATCAGAAATTAAAAGATTAATCGGAGGGTTGGCGAAATAATATAATATAATGAAACCTCGGGATCAAGAGGCACCGAAGTGCAGCTGCAGTTTTCGGAGACAAACAATAATGACAGCAACAAGCGAGCCACCAAGTCTAAATATGAAAGGAATTGATTCAGAGATCTCATAATTTATCTAATAAAACAGATATATTTCATAAATTCTAACCGCAAAAAATAATTTATTCCATTATTGAGTATCAAATTGTAGACACATAATAGTTTAATCCAAATGTGTAATTCATTCATCATCAGCCCCTAGCATTACACCAGCCACCAATAAACGTTTTAGATTCCATTTAACGATGTTATGTTGGATTGTATTTTTACTTTGAATACAATGTCGTTGGTTATCCTAGATAAAATCTGATGCACAAGCATTTTGTTTTTGTAAGTGAATTTTATTAAATTTAAATTTGGAACCAAAAAATAACTAAACTGCTCTCTACCGGCGACTTTTGCAAAAGATTACTCGATGTTGTTTATTCTATTCAGTAACTAAAGTATAAGGTATCAGTAAGGAAAAAACAACATATCGATGTGATGGGACTAGGAAATACAAATCGAACAAAAATATGTAGCAAAACTTGTTTTCCATTTTGTGGGTCCCACTGTCATTAATGCAAGCCTCCTTCTTACACCCAACTTAATTACCTTCTTCAAGGGATTTAAAGGGAAGAAATATGATTCGCGAACGCCATACTTTCCGGGATTGACCAAATCCACATAATGAGTAAGCAAGGCATATATCAGGGTGTCCACCACGAGCATCACGCAAACGTTAAGCATGGTTATATCGTTAGAACTGTCAGAGCTGGGTTTTTGCCAATTGGACCACTGGACCCCAAGTTCTAAAACGAGGATACTGCTGAATCTGAAAATTCTTTGTTTCTAATATCGACTTTGTCCCACCTCTTTCCTCGAATACTGCTATGGTTGCGTAGCCATAATACAAGCCCATGTTGGGAAAGAGCAGCAGCAAGGTTTTCGTCAAACGCGGGGTAGTACCATCAGTGCCGAGTAAATATTTTGGTATGAAATACGACAAAATCCATACTAATAACCCGATCAGTGTAGCTAGAGTGGCTAAAAAATAGACAAAAAATTATCGGTCATAACGGCAATGAAGTATGCGTTTTCTGATCTACCCAATTTTCTTATATTTAATTTAAAATTATTTTGGATGATAATTTTTTTTTTATTTTTAAAAAATTGCGGCTGCAAAGCCTACTGATCTTTTAAAAATTTGTGTGGAATTTCCTATGCCAATACAGTTTTAATAAAGACAATTAAAAACCAAAAATTTTCTTTGCAAAGGTGAGGTGAGTTTTAATTTAAAATCAATTTTATGAGCCTTAGACAACAAGTTCAAATTACAACATACCCCAAATACTTAAAAAAAAATGTTTTATTTATTAAAACGATCTTTTTTTTTTCAAATAGACTACTTTAATACTATTTACAAATCTCCTGCACTGGTTGTTTACAAACTTGCTGATGCTTCGCCAGTCATCCTGTTGGCTTCTTCAGAGCTTGACTGAAACTGGCTCGCATTCTACCTGCTTGTACCTTATTTGAAGGGGGCTGAGTTAAAGAAGGGGCATGCACATTGTCATGGCTTAAGGTTAAGGTCATTGAGCCTAGTTAATATTTTTCGTCCGGTCTCTCCAATGTATTCTTTGCCGCATATGCATCTGGTATCTCAAAAAGAATTTTGTCTTTGACAGATCGACGATGTTGAGAGATTTTTGGATAAGTGGTAAATCTGGTTTTGACGTGAGAGACCGGGCCGCGGGGGGCTGGAGAGTTGCTCCAGGAATGAGGCAGGCGAGGCTTATGATGGATGGGCCCGCCCTTCCTCGGACCAGGGAGCTGCTTAGACTGACCAGAAGGGAGTGTAGAGCACTAACAGGGGCCTACACAGGACATTGCAAGCTTAGGAGGCATCTCTGTTTGCTAGGCATTATAGACGACCCGGAGTGTAGGTGGTGCATGGAAGGGGAGGAGACCCCGTATCATCTGCTCACCGAGTGCCCTGCCTTGACATGGGCAAGATTGGGAGTCTTCGGAACGGCCCTGATCGATCCGGACTCAGTGCACGGTATTGGGCTAAAGGAGTTGCTGACCTTCTACAGGAGGGGCGGCATTCTGGACGCCCTCTAGAGCGGCCTGGGGGCACAACGGGCCCATCTGGTGGCCTAAGTGCTTGGACGCCCGCGAGGGCGCCCCCCTTTAATACCAATACCAATACCAATTGACGTGATATTTCTTAAGAACTTTTGATATGAGGTCAGTGATGCTTTAAAAGGAAGGAAACAGTGGCAAGTGTGGAGTTGCTTTCAGACTCATTGTCTTTGGAACGTTGTGGTGAAATGTATTTTATGAGGGGACGCTTAATATCTCTAATTTTGAAATTATTAGAGGGAAGAGAGATGAAGGTGTTTTAATTTTGGGTTCCGTGACTCAAGTTGAGACAGTTTTACGGGTCTGTAAACAGTTATAAGCAGATACAGAGTAGAACGCGAGGCAGTTTCAGTTTACCTCTGAAGAAGTCAAGAGAATGATTGACGAAACGTCAGCGAGTTTGATTTATAAACAACTGATGCAAGAATAATCCAGAAGATTTGTAAAAAGTTTTACATTAGATCTGTTTGTTTTTTATTTTTGCAATTAATTAAAACAAAAGCACCACGCGCGTGCTCTACGACTGCCTATGCTGAAGATGCCATCACATGGGGGCTATTGATCAATATTCAATTATATGTTTGTAAATTTATACTAGAATGTTATATTAGAAAGTAGGACATAGTAAAGCTAACCAAAACTATTTGTTCACAATGGTTAATATGTATTATTAAATTACTGATGACTATCGAGGGCTAAAAAAAATCCAATAATAGGTCTGAACTTTGTTGAATGACAAAAGTATTCTAAACTAGTCTGATAATGTACATCTTCTTATGGGCACAAATCTAAATGAGTCTTAAAAAATTTTCAATGAATCCTTAATTTGAGGTAACCTATATTATAGTGTTTATTTTGGAAAACTTTTATTTTTATTAAGGACATATCTTTTTTTTACATCATTTGCATTAACCATATTTACTAAATCTCCTAATTTGTATTTGACATTACTGGTCAAGTGTCACAAACAACTGACACTGCACTTACATTGAAGCAGTTGAACTACTAAAAAATGTAGGGCCAAAAATTTTGATATATGATTAGATGAAGGATGAATTCCATAGATACCACTTACGTTTGGTAAAGAAGGTGCTGATGAAGAAACAAAAGACGGTGGCGGCGACACAATACAACAACAGAAAAACAAACAGAATGGTACCATCAGTATATTCTATCAAAGGGTATCCTGACCCAAATATTTCGACTTTCATTAAGAAAACAATGACAGCCACCGAGAGTATCATTGGAATGATACTGTACAAGAACCAGCCCAGCCACAGCATCCATGATCGCATGCCCACCATTTTCATTAGTTCCTGCAAAAGAGTTAGTTGTGTTTTGTTAATTATATGCATGGTTTGTTGAATACCTTAATTCCAGAATACTTCTCCTCAACCACTCTCTTGAGCACAGCCGGGCAAACAAAAATAAAACTGAACAGAGTAATGAGTGGTAAAAAGTCCATAAAGAGGGAAATTAATCCGGAATCGCTTTTGTAAGGTGGATAAGGAAATTCTAAAGTGTTGAATTTGACATTCAACTTGTTGCCACCACTTTTTTCAATAAATGATACGTCCAACGCAGCTTGAAGGGTGAGAAATCCTTTCCATAGGTAAATGCTGCCTGAAGAATATATATACACATCAACTTCTATGTCACCATGCAAATATCAGGTGTCTAAATACCAATTGTAGGGTACTTACCTACTCCTGGAGAAAATCTATAGGGACTGATGTACAGTTTTTCAGTAGACCAAGAAAAGAACTGTTCATGGCATCTTACAGTGTAATCTAAGGTAGTGCCATTATTGTGGGGTTTGAATATTATGGAGATAACTGTACTATTTACATTTTTGGCATAATCTTGTAAAAGATCACTGACTGAAGCAAAACCTTGGATATCTGAAACAGCTTATCTTTATGCACCACTAAAGAAAAAAAAAACATTTACATAAACAATGTATTTAGATTTGACCTAAAAGCTACCAGGAAATTTTAAATTTCATTGAATTGTTTTTGTGTGAACTTAACCTTAATGTAAATGTGTTGTATTAAGGAACTACCCTGTATTTTAAGTATTATTTATTATTAATACTGATAAAATTTAAAAAATTAATAAGTACCTCTTATCAGGCGTACACAAAATCCTTTGTGTTAATGTAAAAGTTATCAGTATTTATGAGGAACTTTTAAGAAAGAGTGCAAAAAATGATAGATAAAATTTAAGCCGGCTGTACAATATTACTGAAAATTTAATAGATATATATGAAGAGGATTTTATCCATTTGGAGGTAACATTAAAAAAAGGACATTAGACCCTTATAAATAAATGCTTAACATTAATTAAAAAATATAAATACATACTGTTGTTAACTAGTTCCAGCTTTTCTTGCATCCTGTGCATAATGTCTTCAAAGTAAAAATCATTTGGAGTGTAAAGTACTAATGATTCTGCATTGATTGATTGAAAAGTAGGATTGATCTCAATCTTTTCATTGTAAGTAACATCGCTCACTTCAGTTTTGTTCAGCCCGCTTATTTTACTCCTACCATAGGCAATCAATAGAAATAGCAATATGGGTACTAAGGCCTCACATAGGGTTAGAAAGTAGTGTCTCCGGCGGATTATCAAATTCTTCCACAAAACCACTTTTAGCTGAAGCAGACTCATTTCGGGAGGGCCCACGATGTGACCAAGAATGTTAATTACTAACAATTTAAAACTATATTATCTACCTATGTCGGTAGTAATTACGAGCTTTTCGCCTCTCCCATGGCAAGCAACTAATCTATTTTACTTTCCTAATCTATTTGTAACGTTTATCATCCATATGTCAATCCCCGCAAACTTGATAAGTAACAATGCACAACAAAATAACCCACATTCCCACAATGAACTCGCATACAAACCACACCATTCGCAGACGTAAACGTCAAATAAGGTTAACACCGTTAACTATAAAGAACGATTCACACCTAGCACGCCCTTAGATTAATGCTTGGTATACACGGCGTCAAAAATCACGGACGAGAAGGTGTTGAGGAAGACTTGCATGGGAGCTCGAATCGTGTGTACGATCCACGCACCTACTTGAATGTCACGCTCGAATCTGTTTACGCGCGACAGACATTAGACTGCTGTAAATAATATACTGCTTTTGAATAAAAGGTTTTATCATATCCAACAAAATGTCAAATTGTCCTGAATTAAACCGAAAAAAATTTTGAATGAAGAAATTTCTTACGATCGAGATCGAGTTACCTACAACCGTGTCGACACCTCACATATATAACTTATTCCAGAATGCTAGTTACGAATCCGTTCGTTCGAGCAGGTACGACTTAAAGCAAGCGGTACACCCTAATTTGTGGGTAAAAATCAGCGTCTTTGTTTTTATAAACTCATAAGTTTAAACTCGATGAAAAATGTAACTAAAGTCGAAATCACGAAAGATAGGTATTACAAAATTTAATAGTATACGATACTAAATACCGGGCAGTAAAGTGGAAAAAGGAGCAACGGTAGAACCTTGGGATCGTAGACAACTATATTATATTGGTAACTATGAAATTTTTTTTTGGGAAGGTCCATTCGACCTGAGCACGCGCCTGATAAAAAAAAATAATGACCTTGAGGCATTCAACAATCAACATGGCCGCTGACAAACCGTTGTTTTGGATGCGTAATATGTCCAGTTCTTCTTAAATCTTCAGGCAAACAAAAGTGTGTGGATATCGTTGGTTTAGAAAAAAATACCAATGTAAAAATTATCGGTTTGGTTCTTTTTCATTTTAAGTTCTTAGTTTGCACAACAGTAGTTTCCAAAATTTCAGTTTGCTACCCAGTTTCTGGCATAGCATAACAAACTACCCTTTTGTTAATCTCTTTATCACCTTAAACACTTCATAGATTTCTACTACTAATGACCCCTACGTAAATCTACGAGTACAGCTCTCTTCATAATCCCACAATTGCATTTAATTAGTCAATACACATTCCCATTAAGAACGTCATTGTAGTTGTAAAGCGACCTTAGAAATCCGCATTGGAAGGGATCCTAACGGAACCTCGGCGCAGAGAAAACATGTTCCACAGATCACTATCAAAATAATAAAATCAGTTCGCATTCTGTGCCGACAATGGTTATGTTACCCAAATAGCAGCAGAATATGAAATGTAGCCTAAGATACCGGTAAAAGCATGTTGTACCTACCGTTTGGAAAATAAAGATAAAGCTCTCGCACAAAAACTAATCAGCCGAGGTTTATATAACAAATCATAGGTATGAAACCTATGATCCCTTCCTCGCAGTAGCAATACGGATCAGCAACAAATGATTCCCTTTCAAATCCAGTTTTGAATTAATTGCATGTTTTAGTTTTAGTTGAAAAGAATTCTTAATTTAGCTCTTACGTTCATTTTAACATACGCGTAACTGAACAGAAGAGAGGAAAAATTATTCGTCCTTCGAAAGGATGCACAGAAACAACCCAATTCGCGTCCTCGAGTGTGAATTGACGGCAATCAGACAAATAAAGGGGATGCGTTAATTAAAGACGCCACTGTTCAATCAAAATCAAATTCTAATCAGTAGGCTCTCGGGACGATAGCAATTGGCGTGTTTTTTCGTGCTACGTCATATTATTATAGCATAGGATAGGCTTATAAAATCTGCTTTGGTCCCAGGGATGAATAAGATGCTAATTTGCTTAACAATATTTTTATTTGTTGAAGCTCACTTGAAGATTTGAACATTTTCTTAGGAATAAAAAATATTTAGCAATAAATTATTTGTTAACCATCAGTAAATTTTTGATTTTAGCAGAATACATTCTATATTTCAACAAAACCGGATGATATTTGTTACACCCCATGCCTTAAATCCCCCAAAGGATCGTCTCCTGAAGGCTGTCCGAAGGCTTCCAAAACGCCTCGTATAAAAAAATATGCAATCGCAGTTAAAATATTTCGGGACAGACGACTTTCCCGGCCTATTCGATTCTATTGGTTCGCGTGGTCGTCGCCAACCCTCGGACTTTTTATTAATCTGCGACGCGCGTTGTATATAAAAAGGGGCAGCGGACACCCGACCGGGGGCACAGCCGCGTATTTGTTATATCCACGCAAGTGACACCTCTCGGGACAAGAAGGCGACACGCGGCCAGTGTCGCTTTTTTCTAGGTGCCTGCGAAGACAAGGGGTGAGTTTTTACGAGAAAAATACACTAAAGCTTTTGTTCGATCTTGTTTGATTGGTTTTTGCATAAAAGCACATTCATTTTGATTACTTGATCTAATGTTGAAAAAAAAATAGCAAATAAAAATAAACAATTTAATAAAAGTCGCGAAGAATCCCACGTCAAAAATGGGTTCCTTTTTTTTAAACACTTTCTTTGCACAGAAATGTAAGATAACAAATACATGCGCTAATTGAACTATATTCTCTTGGCAGTACTAGAAGTCATGCCCAAATCAACTTTGACTTATAATCAATTATTAACTTAATTTAATTTGGTATCCAATAAGAAGTTTTGGTTAGAGACAAAAGAAATTTGAAAAAAATAATTTTCTTTTCTTTATAGCAGTCAATTTCAGTTTTGGTTCTGTGTCTTTCAGAATATATTCGCCAAACTTGACATAGATTTGTGGTGACTTTTTATAAACTTTTGCAAGATGACGCAAAGATATAATCAGCAATCACAGCTAATAGTTTTGAATATCTAGGCGATATGAAAAAGATCAAGCTAAAAACGGAATCCTTCCGCAAATTGATAATGTCATTGAACAAGCTTCAAATGCAACACAATTTCGGGGTACAACAGTGATAAATATTAAAAAAAGAGGAACAACGAGCGATGAATCCTTACCTCTAGAATGTCTCATCTTGTGCATGTATGCGAAAAATGTATATGTTACTATGCCTTATTTAAGAAATAATATAAGAAATACTTTATTTCAAACCGGCGTGACGTCATTCCAGAAGGGTAATACGCCAAGTTGGGGAAGTTGGGGAAAATGAACATAAAATACTACAAAATTCGTCTTTTGCTTCTTAATTCTGTCAATATTAAAAGAGTGTTAATGGTCGTTTTCTGATTTTTATATTTTTTAATATAATAAAAAAAATGGAAACTTTTATGGGAAAATATTGATCGGTAAATTCATAGCACCATCACATAATGACAATGAAGCCTCCTGTCTTCCATCGAAGCATTTTACTTAAAACTCAGAATCAAACGAAACCATAAAATTACCAGCATTTTTTTACAATTATTAGTGGAGTTTATGAGTATATCTGAGAGAGAATTTTTGTCAGATCAACAGGCGCTAGGCGCCAACACTACTGATGATTACTATGGATACTTAAAGCATTCGATGGGTAGGGTGTGCATCATTTGACATCTTCTTCTTTGGGTCAACAGGTTACTTTTGTATTGTCCCGCGATGCCATTCATCTAGTGACTACAAAAGTAGCTAAAAGCTAAGCTAGAACAATGAAAATTGGGATGTAGTCTCACAGAACATAATTGTTTAACTTACTGGAAGAGAAAGTGAGTACTTGTATAAGTGCGCAACATCGGATATTTTAGTAAATTTAATTTTTCCAATTTCGGCTCTAAAATACTCAGTTATGCACTAATCAAGCACGCCGAAAGTTTTACTTTAAGACATCTGTTTGGTTGCAAAAATGTACCCAAAAACTAACTCGTTAATTGAGCAAACGAAACCAATTAAAAATATTTATTTAAAAGCGGGTGATTTCGTTGTACGTCTCAAAATAAACTTTTCATCCAATACAGAGACGATTTTATATCTGAAAATCTTTTAAAAATATACTATTATAGTATTATCCACTTAGCATAAAATGTGCTGGGCTTAGCTACTATGCTTACGCTGCTGCTAATAATACAGGAACTTTTAAATTTCGTCTTCAACCGACACCATATTTCAAGCTGGTCAATAAGACCAAAGGGCATTCAACAATCAACAAAGCGACTGACAGTATATATGCCCAGATCTAATTAAATGTTAAGGGAAAACAAGTTAAGCGCTGTAAAGACCGCTGCCTAGAAAAAAATTGGCAGAAAGTGCAACCTGCACTTGTGGAACTTGAAGGCATCATTCTAATCCTTCCAGTCCCTTGCCCGTTATACCGGGTAGTCCATAATGAATGCACCAAAAAGCAATCCTATATTAGTAAAAGCATTGGGCAAAATATGCCTCAGTAAAATATCGTGTGGTTGGTGAGATGCAATGTTTTAAAATTTAGTTCTCGAAATTCAAGAGTTCAAGCAGTTTTTGAAATATCGACTTGATAACTTGGATTCGGGGGTATTTCCAAAGCGATAATGTCTAAATTATATTACTACAATTTTTTCGAACAAACACACTATTTTCGAGATATTTAAATTTTAATACACTCTGTAAAAAAATTTGCCCTAATTTCAATATTGGTTTCCTCACGAGCCGTTCATATCATAGCCAATACCACGGTAAAAATTGATGTGCCGCAGGCGTCACTGACATTTTGGTAGAGGAGGTATTGATTTTCTGAGCATACTTCTACATTTCAACCACTAACCTGCACCTTGCGCCAGTTTTTTCTGAACATCTATTTCCACACACTAAACTCATTTTACTAGAACATTTAACGGGATCTAGGCATATTTTAAAAAAATAGTTGCTTCATAAGTTCCTATATTATCAGCATAGGCAAAACCTCTATATGCCTAGCAGCTATACTATTTTTTCTACGTCCTACTCTGAAATATCCAATTATACAGCGATCTAGCATGCGAAATGTGTCATTTTATGACATTTTCGGGATATTACCACAAGGGTTTGGGAGCAATCGCATCCATATTAGCCATGACTTGAATTGTAAGGTTTGTCAATTCTGCCGGCAAGTAGTGTTAAGTAAAAATATACTTAACAACTCACGTTCGTAGAAAA